ACCCAGAGGGGGCTTGTTGGAAAAGGTCAGGAAGGCAGTGCGACTGCCGATCCAGGGGCAGCAGGTACCCAGAGTCACAAGCCAGAATGAAACCCGCAGTTCAGCGAGCTGCAGAGGGACCCAGGCAGCACCGCAGGAGCTGGGACCTCTCGGGGAAACTCAGCACACGCAGCTGCCAACGCTGGCTGCAGGCAAGGCGAGGTGGGCCTGGGGCACGCTGCTGATGGCCATCGCTGGCCCGGCAACAGCAACAATGGCTAGGATGCTGACGATTCCAGTCCCCTATATTAAATGCCAGCACAAAGACCTGAATAATTCTGGCTGCCTGTCTCAGGTGATATATGTTGGAGTTTCTCAAAATTTCTAAGTATTCAAAGTGCTAGTTTTGTTAATTTTCCATTTCAGTGGAAATGGAGTGATCTGAGGATATTCACAGTGAAGCCATACCCTGGAATTTTTACAGTGTACTTTAAGGAACAATGGGATTGTTGAGAAGTCATTACCATTGGTATTTATTTTCTTGCTCCATTATGTCAGAACTTTTTTCAGTAGCCCAGATCACACTTTTGTCAGCACAGCCAAATTTACCACTGATGCTTGATCCTGCTGTTGCTCTAAGGGCTCTTTATTTTTTTTTTTTTCAGGATTCACTCATCATCTCAGTTGTCTTCTTAGCAAGTCACTGTTGTGATGCTTCATTTTAAGGCCATGAAACCATCCTTGTCCTTGACATGACCCAGACATCCATACCCTGCATGAAAAGGGTTTTAATTTCATGCCAGCAATAAAAACTGGTCACTGGAAAATTTATCATTTGAGACCCCATAATAATCAGGCTCATTATTTTCCAGGGCCAGCATTCTGCAGGTGCTCTGAGAGATGGCGCGTACACAAACCATTACTTCTTTTCTGAAAGAAGAGGCTCCTCTCGGCCTCCCCTCTGACCCCCTGCTCCTCCCTGTTGCAAGAGTCACGGGTCATTAGGGATATGTAGCTGTCAAGATGGAAGCCCTACTCAACGTCACCCCTCGCTTATTGATTTGGTCCATTTGGTGCTGCTGCAGACACATTTCTAATGGGAAAAATAAAGACAGCCAGTGGACAGACACAGTCAGCAATGGAAAATTCCTTCAGGTTTGTATAGGCAGATAAGAAATCTAAAATTTTAGAGCAAAGGCAGAGCCAACTGATGGGTGCTGTCCAGATCTGACTTCAGGGAATTAAGACCTTGCAACTACTTATTTATAAGCTAGATACGTAAATGGCAACTTCCTACGCATAGTTCACAAATGCTTTAAAGTACCTGCATCAAGCAAACACAACTGATTCAAATAAATGAGGGGAAGGCTTGTATTTTTAATACACACAACTCAATCCTGAGGGCTTGACCAAATAAACTATAGTCACTGAGATAAAGGACAGACATAACTGAAATGAGGACATTGTGATGCTCTGGCTTTCAGTATGATTTAAGAGAGATAGGTATTCAGAGACTGTTAAATCATTGTGTTGGCCCCTTTCTGACGTAGTCATTGTTGCAGATGCACTTTCAAATTTCTATGTAAAATGTTTCCCGGGTCTGCTGGATGTCTCATGGAAAAGACAGCAGTCAAAACTCCCTTGAAATTCATGGCATAGGGGTTCCTAAGTTTTTCAGACTAACAAAACATCAACATTTCTTGCTGCTAGTATCATTGTATGTCAGGGATGAAATGTTTAATTTAAAATAACATGTAGTGTAGCTCTGTAGACTTCTCAAGACCGTGGAGACCTCAGATGGCAACCACCTGCCTACCTCTTGTGGACTGTGCTGTGATTTTCCTAGGAACATACATTAAATATGAGACAAGATGAAAATATTTAAAATTTAGTCTCTCCAGCCATAATACAAAGTAGATGTAGTTGGTATGTAGCTGGCAAATGTAGTTGCTAAGCCACTCTCCCTATCTGAAAAGTCATGGCAGTCAGGCGAAGTCCCCAGTGATGGGAAAAAGGGAAACATCACACCCATTTTTAAAAAAAGGTAAAAAGGAGGACCCTGGAACTACTAACCAGTCAGCCTCACCTCTGTGCCCAGAAAGATCATGGAACAGATCCTCCTGGAAGCCATGATGTCAAGGCATATGGATAGGTGATTAGAGACAGCCAGCATAGCTTCACAAAGGGCCCGACTGTCTGGAGGCCTTCCACGATGGAGTGACTGCGTTGGTGGATAAGGGGAAGAGCAACTGATGCCATCTACCTTGACTTCTGTAAGGTCTCTGACATGGTACCACACAACATCCTTGTCTCTCAATTGGAGAGAGATGGATTTGATGGATGGACTATTTGACGGCTAAGAAAATGGCTGGATGGCCACATCCAGAGAGTTGCAGTCAATGGCTCAATGTCCAAATGGAGATGAGTAACAAGTGGTGTCCCTCAGGGGTCCATACTGGGACTGATCCTGTTCAATCTTTAATGACAGACAGTGGGATCGAGTGCACCCTCAGCAAGTTTGCAGATGACACCAAGCTGAGTGGTACAGCTGATTCACTAGCGGGAAGGAATGCCATCCAGAGGGACCCTGACAGGCTTGAGGAGTGGGCCCATGTGAACCTCATGAGGTTCAACAAGGCCAAGTGCAAGGTCCTGCACGTGGGTTGGGGCAATCCCTGATATCAGTACAGGCTGGGGGATGAAGGGATGGAGAGCAGCCCTGCGGAGAAGGAGTAGGGGTACTGGTGGATGAAAAGCTGGACGTGAGTTGGCAACGTGCACTCGCAGCCCAGAAAGCCAACCGAATCCTGGGCTGCATCAAAAGCAGTGTGGCCAGCAGGTCGAGGGAGGTGATTCTGCCCCCCTACTCTGCTCTGGTGAGACCCCATCTGGAGTACCACGTCCAGCTCTGGGGCCCTCAGCACAAGACATGTACCCACTGTTGAAGCAGGTCCCGAGGGCCACCAAAATGGTCAGAGGGCTGGAACACCTCTCCTATGAAGAACGGCTGAGAGAGCTGGGGTTGTTCAGCCTAGAGAACAGGCAGCTCCGGGGAGACCTTATTGCAGCCTTTCAACACTTAAAGGGGGCTTACAAGAAAGATGGAGACTTTTTACCAGGAGAACAGGAACAGGTTGCCCAGAGAAGTTGCGGATGTCCCATCGTTGGAAGTGTTCAAGGTCAGGCTGGATGGGGCTTTGAGCAACCTGATCTAGTGGAAGATGTCCCTGCCCATGGCAGGGGGTTGGAACTAGGTGGTCTTTAAAGGTGTCTTCCCACCCAAACCATTCTGTGCCTCCATAGTTGTATGCCCCTGCAGGCTAATCCTTCTCTGGCCAAGAAGACCAGGACTGGGATTTCCAAACCTACATTAATTGCTAGAGGAGCACGGGAGGAGAAGCAAGCCATCCTTTCATCAATTCACCTTCTAGCATGAAAACTGCACTGTCATCAAATCTATGGAGATTATCCTTCCTCTCCCCTGACCATTCCTGGTAAACAAATATGGCAAAGGAATAATACAGAAATGAGTCTGTCATTTTTACGGAGAACTGCAGTGCTGTTAATAAATCTCATGTTCAAAACAGTATTGCCAGAGTGAGCACCTGAGGCCAGACAGCTCCCCAGATTTCCAGAGCAACAACAGAGATGGCATTTCAGGGGCTGACAATGTCCGTAACATGACAGGGTGCTAAGTTGCTTCTAGGCATAATAGGGATCAAGATGCTGGGCCTTAAAATGTTCCCATCATCTTCCTTCACAATATGATTTTAGCAGCTAAAAATTAAAGAAATGACTGCATTATACCCCATAAAAACCAGAATGTCAGGCTTCCAGATGGTGTGAAGCACTTCTAAATTCAGCTGTTCCTCAGACAACAGCCACTAAAACCGTATCACAACTGAAGTGAATGAAATGGTTGTAAGTGAAAAAGGAGACTTTCAAAGCTTGTGTTCATCCACAGTGTTAATTCATTGCTGTTACTGCTCTCTTCAATCTCTGGGAAGAATGACCAGAAAGGAGTAACACCAGTAGCACAGAATGAATGCCCTCTCACTGAGACTTTCCTCTTTTTGCTTCTTTAAAACAAAAAGGCCACTCACTAGGCAGAGATGTCTGGTGGTGCTGGAAGCAGAGCGCCAGCAAGGCTAGAGCACTGCTTATGATATGGTGGAGCTGGTATCTTAGCTTGAAGCTCTACAGGGTCACAGGTCAGCTGCAAGAAAATGCAACTGTATCAAAACAAATCACAGTTGGGGATGGGGGGGAAAAAAACACATCATGCTTTCATCACAATAAAAGCTACTTTGATCCACTTTCAAAACAATACATCAATCTCACCTGCAACTCTCATCACACAATGAACAGAACTAAATATATTGAACAAACCAGCCCATAATTGTCTCTCTCTCTCCCTCTGTTCAGCCCTTGCCAAAGTAACACCTCATCAGTCCTTTTCTATAGAGTCTGAAAGGATGTAGTTTTTCTTTCACGATTTGTGACCCGCTCAGCTGGAGGCAGTCTGCAGCTGTAAGAACAAGGTCTCCTCCCAGCACGGGGATGATACAGAAAAGGCGCTAAGTGTAAGTATGGAGACAATATTTAATCCAAACAGAGAACTGAAGAGACAGAGAGAGCAAGAGGTAGGCACACAGGCCTCTCTCTGCACATCAGACAGGGCAAGAAGCACAAAGGCAGTCTTGCTTGCAGTTCAGGGCTGCAGGGACGGTAGAGATGTGGCTGCCTTCCAGCGTAGAATGGAGGGCACTGGAAAGCAGGGTGCCAAAGAGAGCCCTGGCCTCATTTTCCTGGCAGACTCCCAGAGCCTCTGAGACCGAGTGCTGTTCATGTCTCTTATGAAAGCCTCTGGTCCCCTGATGAAACAAACAATGGAAACAAAGAGTCCATGGCTTGTGGCTGCGAAGGTTCACAGAGGCCTGTCTTGCTTGTTGCTCTGTATGTTTTCCACTGCAGCGACCTCACGCTATCCAGCCCGTCAACACGACATGTCCACAACAACTTCAAACCACGAGGGACATCCTCGTCGGGAAATCATTCTGAGAGGAAAGAGAGAAGAGAAATGTCAACAGGAAAGCACTCATGGAATGGACAAAGAGGCAGATGTAGCTTTGACAGAGACACAACCAACAGCCAACAGCCTTGTCTGCTCACACCCCTGTCCTCTCTCACACGTGCCACTTAAGCTCAGGCCTAACAGCCAAGCTGCTCTAGTGACAAGGTCTCCCCCATGGAACAGGCTTCAGCCAGCTCCCCTTCCCCGACAGCCATGAACTCATCAGTCCTCACTAGACTGTGGCAGGATGTTTTGCACTTGCTGGTATCCTGCATGAGGAATGCCTTTGGCATGCATTGGCCATACACGTGCTCATGGGCACGCACCCACACGGGTCTGTCATCTCACCCCTTTCAGAAAGACCTGAGGTCTCTTTACACCATGCCTTGCTACTAGCCCTGTCCCAGTCCAGAAGAACAGAACCTCTCAACCCTTCCTTAACAAGGGTCGAGGGCAAAGCAATGCCCTGTAATTTCTATAAGCCCTGGGTAAGTTCCCTTCCCTACAATGATCCTCCTAAACCCTAGATAAATTCCCACTTCCTTGGATCACCAGGCACCACAGATGCCAAAAACATCCCTTACCTCCCCAGTCCCAGGCACATCTGTCTCTCCCCTCCGTCGTGGAGTCCTGTGTAGGAGCTATTTCCCCTTCTGGCCTCCGGCACCCCCAGTGACTGCCCTCTTCCCACAGTGACTACCCTTACCTGGGCTTCCCCACACTCAGACTCCAGGCTCTACCCTCCTGGAGAGCCCCACTGCCCCTAAACTCTGGTTAGTAACCCCTGCCTGGTGGCTCCCCGCTCAGCCTATTTGGATCAGGAACACCAGACGTGGCCTCACTGTTTTCTTGGGGTCCTTTTTCCTCTTCTTGTCAGAGGCGTTGAGGTAGGCCTGCTCCCTGGCCCTGTACGACGGGCCTCGGCTCAGCTCCCTCTCGCTGTACGGGGGCAGGGTGTCCTCCCCTTCCTCCTGCTGAGGTGGTGGTGGTGGCTGCTGCGGCTGCTGCTGCGACTTCTCGGCTTTGTAGGTAGAGGGTGGTGACCAGGCATAGTATGTTCCCCCTCCTCTCTGGCTGGCCTGCGAGCTCAGCTTCGAGGGGGTTTCACTGTGGTCACTGCTCTCATCGTAGCTCCGGGATTTCCTCTCCAAGACACTGCTGAGGTAGGAGTGATCGTATTTCTGGCTCCCTCCGGGCGTCCGGCTCACCAGCCTGGGCAGGTGCTTCTCCTCATGGGCCCGTCTCCGGGGTGGGCTGTACGACCAGCCCCGATCCGAGTCCGTCAGCGGCTCTCGGTTCCCTCTGCTACGCTTGGTGTAGTACTCCTCCATGGAGCTATCCTGGTGGGGCAGCCCTCCACCTCGGCCGCCGTGCGACTCTGACCGCTCGAAACGCCGAGTTTCCTGGCTGTCTGCCCGCCGGGTCCGCTGGCTGTAGGACTCCGCAAAGGCTGCCAGCTCATCCATAGAGACGGCTGGCACTCCCACAGAGAAACTCTTACGGGACAACATCTCGGACTTGGATCTCTGCTGGCTGGAGGAGGGAAGAGGTAGTGTTAGAAAGCAGGATTCAGCTGCGCTCATCCCCTCAGCTGCCTTCACAGACAACGGAGAGAAACAGGCACTCCTGGGGCATGAATCATCTGACCTCTTTTCATCGTCTTCTGTAGGAAGAGATGCATTACATCCTCGAAATCCCTGCTTCTCTCTGCTGACTGTAAAGGCAGCTTAGTGCAGATAGCCCAGACTCTACATGTCTAACATTACCCAAGATTAATCCCAGAGTGCACCTTCTTTGTCCCCCAGTAGGCAGGGCTGGACTTGCTTCTCCTTGGCCCTAAAGCTTGTAGGTGTATATCCTGCTGGGAAAACCCAAGAACCTGGCTACAGAAGCTCACAGCAGGGCAACTGTGAAGCAGGTTTAAAGAGAGTGAGCTGGCACAATAGCCCAGTACTGAGGGAAGGAAATCCCTGCCATTGCTTTCGAGAGACTGGGCTGCTGGTACGCGAGGGAAGGATGCGATCTCTCTCTTCTAGGCACCAGAGTGCCAGTCCTTTAGGCCTGGAGTACAGGTCTTGCTGCACCAAAGCACCAGGGTGTGACTTCTAATAAAGCATACCAGCACTGGGAAGTGCTGGAGGGATCAGGTACAAACCTCAAGAGAGCACTTTGGGAAGGGTGGCTTGGTTTCCTATTGATCTCACTTTTACATCCCACCTGGAATGGGGCTGGTACCTAGCTTTGCCCAGCAGGGTAGTCTTCAGCAGGCTTGTGGGAATCAGATTCGTTCTGACCTCGTCGAATGACATAGCCAGTTTTCATGTTTCTCTCGAACCCCTCTGTCCTGCTAAGCAGAACCAGAACAGCAGGAAAGGGAGAAGAGCTACCAGTCTGTCTGTCCCTTCTGCTTTCTTTACTGCTTTGCCAGATATAGCTGCCTCCCAACATGGCACTCCTCACCTGTGCCGGAAACTGTCCCGCTCATCTCTGTAATCAGAGACAGCCTGTGATCTTGATGTGCTGCCCCCGCCCATCACTCCTGCCCAGTATTCAGCATCGCCATCCAGGTCCCCTGCAGGAGGCAGAGGTTTCCTTCGCACCTGGCGGTAGGGCTGCCGGAAGTTCAAGTCGTCTTCATGCAACGAGCTGAGTTCAGAGATGGTGTTGTTATCTGCAGGGGAGGTTGCAGAAAAGAAATGAGGCAGGCAGCACCTGATAGCATGTGTGAGAGGGGAGGAGAGGACAGGAAGGCTGTGGTGAGCCCAGGTGCAGCTTTTTCAGAAAAAAATCAAAATGGAATTCAAGGCCCTTCTCCAAACCCTTGACTGATCCTGCCCAAGACTCTTGGGGCTCAGTTTGGACATAGAGCTGCTGTTATACCTACAGGTCTTCTGAACACCGGCACCCAGGCAGGATATTCTAAGGATATCGCAAACAGCATCAGATGCCTGTGTTCCAGATAACTGAGTTCAGCCTTCATGCAGAAATACCCCCCTCAGCCCTGGTTCAGTAACAGGTGAGCCCTCCGCCCTCGCAAGGTGGGCACTGAGCTTGGTGGAACATCATCACAGCAGTTGTGCCACCTCCCCCTTTCATGGTGTGAGACAGGCTGGCTCTGGATTTGGCCTGACTTGCCCAGCTAAAACAAAAACAACCCCCTCAAAAAAGGATTAAGAAAAAAGTAAGAGACTGTCTGAATCACTGTCAGTCTCTACCCTGTCAAGCACATTGACATCTGGAGGCCTGACATACCAATCTGGAGAGGTCTTTTTATAGTAAATCCTGTGGGTGGAGAAGACAGTGTGCTCAGCAATGACTGTTTTAGAAGTATATATAATTTGTTAGTTATGCCTAATCTGTACAGCGCTTTGATGTAGTGTCATTCCCTAAAGCCCTTATCTTCATTGATTTGCAGGATCTCATGCATCTGTTTTAAATGATCCTCTACCAGTGCCCAATGTGGGTTAGCTCTGTGCGAGCCAGATGCTGCCTGGATGAACTGAGCCCCCAGCCTGCTGCTGTCCTCTACACAGAACAGCTAGAGGCCAAAGAGCAGCACTGCAAGCCCTCCTCATGCACACACCTTGTCCTGCTACTGCACCTGTGCCTCCTAATGTGGAAAGATCCTCACTTGGGTTTGTATTCTGATACCCTGTAAGTGCAGCCTCAGCCTTTACTTAGGGAAATAAAGCTTGCAAGAGGCTATCGAAAACAGTGAGGAGTTCCACACAGAAGCTCAGTTCCGAGTTTGCATCATGTCCCTATTCACCACCCTCCTCCCCTTTACCTGCAGTTGTCTGACTGCCAAGCTGTCAGTACTGATGCATGCACCACCTTTGACCTTATGTTGACCAAAATCTGATAATCTCCTGGTTTCCTGAATCTTTCTTGTAGTCCCTGCTCCTTCTGCAGGGCAACAGCCACTCCAAACTACCTTTCTGCATCCTTCAAACCACACTGTGGTCATTGCAGCCCACAAAACACACTTTCAGTAAAATCACCCCTCTCCTATTCTGCCATGCTGGCAATTTGCAGGCACCACACTGTAAGACATATAGAAATTGTGAAGACAATATCCCAGCTATTATCACACCACAGGCTGTGGGGACTTGGCTTTTCAGATGTTGATGATCCAAAAGTTCAATTATCCAAGTGGACAATTTTCATGAACATCTGAGTATCCCTCACCTTGTTTGCTCTAATAAAGGATGATTAGGTAAGCAGCAGATCTTTCAAATCAGAACATACCTGTAGATGCCTAAAATCTACACTTATCTACCCCAAGTACCATATCCTGGACATCATATCCTAGAGGCTGGCTCTAAGGCAAAGCCAGTGAACTTTTAACTATGAATTTGCCATTTTTTCAGGTCGGTGGAAAAAAAAATCAAACCATGCTTGTTCCTCACATCGTTCTCGCATCCTCCTAGCTGGGTCAAACTGAGCCAGTTCTTTCTCAACATAGTACAGCACCTTCATGGAGTCCCTTTCCTTGTCAGTCTGGATCCTGTACCCTTTGCGCACTGCTAGGGAGAAAAGAAAAGCATTAGAGGAAAACACATTTAAGTTCAAGGAGATTTTCTGACAATATTGCTTCTATAGCTGAGTTCACATCTGCAGGCAGGTAGGCTGCATCTTCCAAAACAGATTCAGTCCCTGCTTCAGAAGAAATTTGTCTGTAACGTGGGATGCAAAGTTGTGAGCAGCTGCATCATTTATAAACTTTGCAGTAACAGCAAAAATGGTTTGGAAATGCCCCATCTGTACAACCAAATGCATCAAGTGCTGTCATTGCCACTGAGTGATTCCACCTCCCACAGAGGATGGCAGAGAGAAAAGTACCACTCATTTCCCCTTCCTCAGCACTACAGAAAGGATTCATCATGATATGGGAGAAGCAGTCCCAGAAGATCAGGCTTCCTCTATGCCGCAGGGCCTGTAAGCTCCCAGTCTACAGGGGAAGCAGGTGGCTGAGCATTTGGGAGCTGTCACTCTGCAGGACCACTCCACCCTCCCATCCCTATGAATTCTGCTCACACAGGTTGAAGAGCATGTGGTAGGAGAAGCTCCAGAGAATACAGAAAGAAACACAGAAAGTCCCACAAAGCACATTGCACTGCTTTGAGATTTATACTGAATCCAATGATGGGGCCAATCAGTTCACTGGGTAACTGTGAAACTGCTTGCTCTGGCATTCTTTACGCGCTTTATTTTACAGAAAAGGTGTGTCTCACATGTACACTAAGTGCTTGACTCCATTTGCAGGGAAAGTCTGGACAGCTTTTTTTGTTTTTCCACATTCCTGTGTGTAGAAAAGAAGCCCCTACATGCCTGTAGCCACAGCAGCTCTAACGCTGGCAGGCTGGCTCCATGCACGCTTTACCTGCTAACCCTATGAACAGCCCAACTACTTCAAGGCAGGTCTATAGTCAGCAAGCAGAGAACTCTACCTATCGGGACTTTGAAGAAAATAAGGCTTTTATAGCAGATTATTTAACAAAGGTCTCAGCCTGGGGCTATTTCAAGATTGACAGAAACACAGGTCTCAGTACAAAAGAGGACTACAACCCTCAAATTCAGCCTCATTAGAGAACTGTCATGAAGACAATTCACCTAGCACTGCAAAATGGAACCTGCCTGCCTTGCATGGGGCTAAATATGTTCCCTCATGTGAATATTGCAGTTTTGCATGAGTGCTCCTCTTGTGGCACGATTTAAATACCTGGACAGTGGTTTTGAGCCAACCTGTTCTTTCTGTTTTATTCCACACCCCGATACATCAAGCTACTAACATATGGGTTTGGTAGTACATTGCATAGTATGCACTGTGTGGGCTGAACAAGGACTTGGCAGAGGTATTCTCAGGCACCTTCTGTCCTAAACTGCTGTGCATGTGTTTGTGCACTATTAAATAACCATGCTCTGCTTCAGAAATGGCTGTTCCATAGAAATGGGTAGAATGATTCCTGTAATAATCCCACAAATTGCTTGAGGAGGAAAGTGCTTTACTGTGGGTTTTGACTGTGCACATGTAAGGTAAGTAACTACATCTTGAAATATTACCTGTGTATCTGTACTTGGGAAAGGTATTAGAAGTTAAAATATAATATGGATGTATCAGGGTCCTGCTTTCAATGTGTCTCCAGATAGCGTAGCTGACAGCAGTCTGGAGTTTCGCTGTGTTTTATTATCCCCACGAATGTGTGCACAATGACTGCAAATGCACACAATGATTTACAGAACACAAGGAACGCTGTCTCTGCCTGCCAAAATGGAAGACCATCACGTCTCCTGAAGTGAGGCTGCTGCTATGAAGAGGAGCTGGATTGACTGGCCTCAGAAGCAAAGACTCCTGCTGCACTGCCCGAGCAACAGCAAGGCAAGCTCTCCACTTCACCTCACCATCGTGGCTGACCTCTGTCTGGTAGCTTGCCAGGAAAGAGGCCTCTCGCTATTCTTTCTTCTGATGTGCCTACCAGGAGCTCAGCTAAGCTGCCACCTCATTTACACTGGCCAGCAAATGACCATCAGCTGGAAATGACTTTGACCTACTAACAACCTTTGGGGAACTTGAACAGGCAGCTTCCAGAATCTGTCTCCCCAGAGCCACTACTTGCGCTGAGGCTGTGCCAAGTATCTATTTAGGCAACATCTATAGCTCCTGGAACTGATGGGGAATTAACTAGGCTTCATGCTAGCTTCATGCTTGACTTGCTATTGGAGCCGTGTATCAAAAGGCAAATGAATTTCTTGGGTTAATTCTGTAAGCATCTAGAAATTAACTTTGGATTTAAATCTGCAAAAATGACCGTGAACGGCTCATAAAAAGTATTTTCCATTATAGATGAAGCATATTTTGTCTCTACGTTTATTTATTAAATACTTCTCGCAATGATATTGAATGTTCAACTTATTAAATCTCTTTATTATTCCTTCGTGTGAGAACCAAAGATATTATTGTTTCCTCCTCACACCCTTCTTCATCTGTAAATTGCCATAACCCTTTAATAAGGTCTGGCTATTTTTAGGCCCATCTTAATTATAAGGGAAAAAAAGACGCAGAGGTGTTAAGCACTTGTCCAGAACCATCCACTGAAGTCAAAGGGAATGGAACATTCTTCCCTGTTAGACTATATTTTCTTCTCCTGAACAGTTCATAAATTTCTAATGTTTGTGTTTAACTAGACACTTTTTTTATTCTTCTGTGGGTGGAACCAAGTCAGCCAAAACTGTAAGCCGTTTCCCTCCCCAGAAAGGACAGCACTAATATTTTTTTCAGACAAGTGTAGTTAGGAAGTAAATGATGTCTCATCCTTATACACTTTCCATATTAAAGGTCTGGAGTCCAGCTCTCAGACCAAAAGCTTCCCTGTGTGCATGGTTTAAGGAATCTGTGCAAAAGTCTTCAGGAAACCACTGCATTTAAAATAGAGCATACATTCTAACTTATGTGCTGCCAACAGTCTTCTAAGTAAGAGAGCTGAAAGGTTTGGTCTTTTTTTTTCCCTGTTCAGCCCTAAGTTTAGGATGGAGTTCCTAGGCTTCACTGGAGCTTTGTCACACAGATTTTATGTAACCCTTGACGAATTTTCTAAATATCCTCATGCCTGAGTTTGCTCACTAGATCACCTCACAGGGGTCGTTTATAAGCACAGAAACTATCTAGGGCAAAGGCTGTCCTTTTTAGCCTGGCAGCCAGGATTACAGAATTCTCCAGTCTCTGTACCCCAGCACTTCTGATCCCATTTTTTTAAATAAACTTGACAGAAAGGTTGAAGTCTCAAAGATACCAAGTTTCAGATTAGACCTACGCGGGCTGCATGGAGGACTCGGAGACCATAATTAGTGCGCCTTCTGAGAAAAGGCCTTTATTATAAACTCAACCATTATTTGTTTTGTTTAGCTTGTTGTCTGGCCAACCAGCAAATAAGTAGCTTGGAACAGCCACATAATGTTGTCTCTTCTACAGCCTGTAATTAGGGGATATTCTGGCATTATGGAGGACCTTAAGAGAAAAGGAACAGGATGCAGGGTATCACCCTTCCTTAGCTCCAGAGTTCAAGGAACACCTTGAACAACAGGTGCATGATCCAGGCTAAGGGTTTGTCCATATTACTGCAAAAAATATTAATTAAAAATAAAAAAAAGCTTAAGAACCTCTGTTGTCTTGCCACAATTGTTAAAACTCTGTAATAATGGTTTTGTTTGCAATACGTAGTACTTCCTGTCAAGTCCTGAGTTGAGGGATTAAGTCCAGGCAGCTGATTTGGATTACGTAATAAATGCATCTTTCTGCGTAATGAACATGGGATGCTAAAAGCCGTTCCATTTGGTTACCAAACACATCTACAGTTTTTCATTCTGCATTTGTGCTCTGCTAGTAATGTACAGCAGAGACAAGACTGGGGCTGTGATCTGACTCTTAAAAAATCCCTGGAGTTCCCACGGCCAACACCATGCTCTACATGGAGTGACATTTTTCACAGGAGAAAAAAATTAAGCACTGTGCTGTCATTCATCATTTTCTGACAAAGGTTTCTGAATTGGATACATTCTGCTTTGGATCACTGATTGATTTATTTCCTATTTCAAAATGCTCCATTCCAGAGCTCTGTTTTGATTTCAGTGGGAAAAAAAAGCATGATTGTTGAAGGAAAATACTTTTTGTAGCTCCAGAAAGGTTAATACACTGACCGGGGCAGTGAAAGGATGTGTAGGGTTGTTCCAAAAGCTTAATTATTTGATTACGCTACTTGGTCTTGTCTTTTCCAAAGTGTCCTATCAACACATTGTCACGAGCAAATTTAACAATTGATAATTAGGCTGGTGCTTTGAAATCCAACATGTGGCTGGATCAATGGCAAACATACTCTGTCAGTATGGTGACTCTACATGGTGAGAGTCACTTCTGCTGCAGCATCTTTGAATTTAGACAGCCACTCTGATCCTGAAATGCTAGCATGTGGCTAAATAGCTACCCTCTTTTTCCTTCCTTTGCAGTGGGAGAAGTGACCCTCACCAAGATAGAGTCATCATACTGATACTCTGTGTCTGACATTGATCCACAACTCCTTTCTAGTTAGAAACCTTTTATCACTCACATTTCACAAATTCAAAAGCTGAACAAAAAAGTGACCTACTGACTTCTGTAAGGTAGGGGAGCGGGTCCAGCCCCAAATGCTCTTGGGCAGAAATGCTGAGGGAGCATGTCCCCATGCCCAAAATGATGCTATGGGGACAGTAAAACACGCTGCAGCAAAAACTGCTGCCAGAGGGCAAGCAGTGCCCTACAGAGGGTAGGAAGAACAGTTTAGCAAGAGAGAGCAGCTTCCAAGGCATCAGCTCTAAGGGGAAAACAGCCACTGCTCCTCTGCTCCTCTAAAATCATCTTCATCCTTTTGTCCTCCGCAAGTAAATGTTTGCAGCAGTAATGAGAGGGGTCCCAGGCATGAACTTGGCCTCCCATTCCCTACTGACCTAGTTAGACATCCACAAATTGACCCTGTGCTGATGGCATTAGAAAAGTTGGACCATGTGGCCCTAAGGGATGCAAATTCCATTGTCAGAGCCAGGATTAAAATGCAGTTTTTCTGTGTTTCCTCTGTTCATACCACTCTATCAGTGACAATCATTCTTCCCTTTCCCAGCCCAGCTCCCAGTAAGAGGACTGAATGTTGTGCCTGGCACTGCAAATTACCATTTTGGCTTCCTCCGCTGGAGTCACTTGCGGCTAAGGGAGGGGGGTGCGACTTATCCATCAGCACAGCAGGAGATGGGACACCAGCTACAGGAACACTGGGTATGTAGTATGGACCTGGCATGGAAGAGACTGCAGGAGGGTACCCAGCTTTTGCTGCTTTGCCTGCTACATACACTGAAAAAGAAAAAGAATAGCAGTCACCATCACAGCAGCCTCCCACGGACCCACACGGCACGTGGCCGAAACCTGCATATCACCAACATTGGTGACAACCCAGCAGGAGACAACTGGACAAATGAAATGACGAGGACCAATCTGAATTTCTCTAAGCCTCAAAGGGCACTGAGGGGAGTTTTAAAAATGCACACAGCAGGTCAGACAAGCACTGCAAGATGCCCAGCAATTGAAAGACATTCAGGGTGTAACAGCCGGCATTACCGCTGCCATGACTTAGTGGCAGTTCAGCTTTGAAAACAACTGATGACTCAAGCAGCAGGGATGAGGCTCATGAAACTTGACAGATCTGCCTGTGCCTGACCAGGAACCTCGCTGGGTTGCAAGGATTTTGCACTCTTGTAGAGGGCAGCTGCTTTGTATTGCCAGGAAGAAACCTCCCAGGATGCTCTTAGCTCTGACCTGCAACATTCACTGACACGACAATAACTTCGGAAGGGGAGCATGACACTTTGGAGAAGCAGGCGCAGCTGCCAAGGCAGGGAGGGCTCAGGGAATTACATTTGTAATTAACTTTGAGCGTTCAACCATTGAGCAATAGGTCAGATGCTTCACTCCCTAAGAACTAGTTCTTTAGCCAAGCAAAATGCTCAGGGCAAAGGAAGCAATATTAGCAGATCCTCCTCCTGTTCTGCCAGGGAGCAGAAGTAGTGCAGGAGAAGATTTGCACCAGGCTTGGACAGGGTCACTCACACGCCCGGGGACAGCAGCAGGACTCAGGACAGCAGGGGCAGCGGACGTAACAGCAGCAGCTGTGTGGGCAGCACTGGCACCAGCAGATCCCCACCAGGAGGAAGAACAGGAATGCCCCCAGGATCACCAGGCCCACAAAGACCCACTCTGGAAAACAAGGGGAGAAAGAGAGATACTTACAGGATTGCACGTTGCTGTGGAAGGGAACGTCAGCAACATCCTCCCGGGGAGAGCACAGGGGCAAAACAGATAGGTGAATAACAGAAGTGGACTTCCTGCTGGTCTAGGACAACGTCCCCCTCTGTGCCCAAGCACAAATAGCACATGACAGTGAGAAATGGAGCTACAGAAATGTGGTCCCTTCCTGAGACGTCTCTGGCTGGCTGAGAGGTGAGCAGCACGGAGGCAGGAGCTCTGGTTCCCCAGCACAGAAACCCTTCACCCCATGGCAGACCTGTACGAATGCCGCAGGACGTACTCCATTAGCATTTGGATCTCATCAAAGACTCATTCATCCCGGCCATGTTCATGCCCTGCTTGTGTGTTTGTTCCCTACCCACATTCTAGTTTTAATGGGACAAACGATGGTGAAAAGCATGCTATAAATAGCCCAGTAAATGAGCCAGGCCTGCCCCTTCGCAACTAGGCCCACGCATGCAATTATTCTTTTGAATGTGCCGAACGAACATCCTATTCAGGCGCTGCAGCCAGCCAGGAAACCTAACAATCACTTTCCCTCTCCCCCCACCGCCCCTCCACTGAAGCCTCAGATGATGTCTGCCAGGCCCCAAAAGGGAACGGCTGAAAAACACCCTACAAGTGAAAGCACAGAAGAGCTGGTCCACAAAAAACGGGATGGGGTTTGAATGGGAAGGGGAGCAAGAAATGGTTTTTCAAACTTTGCTGCTGGGAAATCTGCAGCGGCAGCAGCCGTGGTGGGAGCAGGGGCCCCAGCCGGTGCCGGGGCAGCTCCCAGCTCTGCATCTGGCCACCCCACACTTTGCAGGGGATTGCGTGCACAGGGCTGCGCCTACCACCACATGGCAATTCCCCGGATTAAGGGAATGGCCAGTGAACACATCTGGACCGAGAAATTTCAAGACTTTGAATGTATAGGAGGCCTGGACTTGGGTTTATGTCAGAAAGATGCACCGATCTACCTAGAAGTCAGACCACTGGTCAGGGAAAATCTATGGAGAAAGACTCCAGGTGTACCTAACTTGGAAAGATGGTAAGAAAGCAAAGAAAGAAGTGGTGGGGCTGCTTTGCAGAGAAAAAAAAAAAAGCAGCAGACCACTGTTTCCAAACAGAAAGGGGTCTCCTGGTACGTTATTACTAAAGATGATTTTAAGATGATTAAGACGGTATTATTTAAGATGTATTGATACAAGGATATCACACTGGAAAAATAGTGCACCTCTCACCTGTGTCGCTAAGCTGAAAATTCAAGGAAAAATGTTCAGCTTGGAACAATCAAAATAGAAGTTTTTCCTAATTTTTAATAAAATGCAAAACCAAGAAGTGTCATTTTTGATTCATCCACAGCATTCTGTTTGAACAGAAGTAAAATTCTTTGCTTTGTTGGAGTTTTCCTTAACTTTTCTACAAACAATTCCCTTTTTTAATGCCATTTTTAATCTAGAAGCTACAATTTCCTTTAAAAAACGTCAGTGAAAGATCTGGCATTTACAAATCAAAACACTTCATTTCAGAAGTGCAAGTGAAATGTTTTATATTTTTTGAATACTTTATTTCTTTTTTGGCTGAAACAGATGAATTTAATTTAAATTTGCAGACAATTTTGGTCCTTGTGGAGTAATTTTTTTTGGTGAAGTTACTATATGCTGAGAAAAATTCAGTTAATGAATAAGGAAATGGCTGGAGGGAAGCATTCATGAATGGAAAAGTAAGAGCTGAGAGGAGATTACTGATACAGTTCCTCAAGTGCTGGTTCTAGGAATCATCTTATTTAATAATTTCAGGAATGACCTTTACACAGAAAATAATGTGTTAATGTATCTTGAGGGTAAGAGGTAGGGAAGCATTGTCACTAAAGATGAAGACTGGCATATGTTATAGTAAGGGCCAGTTGTCCTTGGGCCTACAATCAGAAACATGAAATGTAGCAATATACTGAATTTCAAGGTATGCAGCCATACTTTCAGGGTCACACGTTCAAGGATTAAGAACAATTGCTGTTCTGAACAGGACTTCATTAGCTGAAAACAATTGAAAAACAAGAGAAATGATCCAGTATACTATTCCATCACAGGACAACTGTAACCGCTTATGCAATACCGCCACAAAAATGGCAAATGTAACCCCATACCCAGTAGAGGAGGAATTTCCAGTAGTGTCAAGGAAATATTAATGCCATCATACAAGGCCTCCATGTAACTTCATATGAAGTTACTGATGTTATACAGCTCTGGTCATTTTTGTACAAGAAAAGATGAATTCAGGTTGGAGCAGATGCAAAGAGGGATTTGAAGGGATGAAGGGACTCGATGGCCTGCCTTGCAGCAGGGGAGCTGAAGTTCGCTGTCTTAGTCTATTAAAAAGAAGACCGAGAGCAAACATTGCTGCTGCCTGTAAATATGCTAGGATGATGAATGCTAGGAGGAAAAGCAGGTATTATAGTTAAAGGTCTTCTATAAATGGGCATAAACAGGCTATGAGTAATGTAGATGGAAGCTATACAACATATATCAAAGAAAGCGATCCAATGGGAGAGACAAAGGCCAAACCCAGACCACTCTTAAGCTTGCTAAGCTTATGGAAAGGATGAAATTACACGGCACTCACGATAGCAAGCAAGATAGCGAGCCAGACTATTCTTTCCAGTCCTGTACTTCCTACTCTATGCCAACCCGAGCAGGGCAACAGGTCAGTGGCTTTTTCTTTTGCCATGTTCTCATCTTGTTCTCTACGACCATCATTGATACAGAGAAGGAGGTGAAATAGTATCGCATGACAGAAGTGGCCAGCCACAGCTATGCAATGAAGCTCAGGTGTCAGATCTCCAGAGCTATTAGTGAACAGTTCACAACCACTCCATAAAGGATAAAAGCCTGGTAGAAGAAAAAAACAAACAGCAAGTTCATTGTAAGTGCATCTGTGGTCTCTCTGAGAAGGTTCTAGGAGTATAAAGGGAGGTCAGGTTAATATGTACATTGCACATTGCTAGATACTCACTCAGCACCAGGAGTGGATGTTTGAAACCAGTGTCCCAGCCACAGGGACCTATGAATCCCAAAGGATTTTACTTTACAGGAAGTTAGACCATTTGCTTCTCTGATGAGGTTAAGAAAACAGCAACAGAGCCTGCTGGCGCCTCCTTTATGCACAAAACTGGGATTCAACCACTTTTACCCGCAATTCCCTAATCCTTGCTTCAGTACAACTGTTGCCTTCTGTCACAGCCCTTCCAGAGACAACTGTGTAACCCTGAGATTCAAATGACTATCAAGCTGAAATGCTATGTGTCCTTGCTGTCTGGAAACTACTGTTTTGTGCTTGCAGGAGCACCTGCTTTTGTTTATTCGGGTAACAGGCAATGCTAACAGCTGAAATGTGGTTTGCTGCTGCCTTTTACACTTTCTTATACCCATGCAGTGAGGGTACCAGAAAGCTACCTGACCAACACACAAGAATTTTATACCCATCCAATAAAATTGTAAATAGTGTGGGGGAAAAAAAGTATTAGGCAACAGAGAATCAACTTTTGTCTATGCTGAAAAGACCAAACCCTCTCCTGCCATGCTGAACTTCCAGGGAGCTTTGGGTTACACTGGAGGTGGAGGAGTGTCTGGGATTTTGGGGTTTTTTGGTTGTTGTTGGTTTTGGTTTCTAAGAATGCATTTTTAGTGGCATACAGGGAATGAATCACATTCTGTTCTTGTCTTTGTCTGCCTTCGCTCCGTTTGCATCTCTGGGACAAACTTGAAAATAGCTTCACACGTTTATGCAGAGTTGCATTTTTGCACAAATGTGTGAAAGAAACACTCCTTGGGCACTGTCAGGGGATGATCAGATGACTTAAGGGCTAAATGTTCTCACAGCTTTTCCTTTCAAGGACAATCTGTTGCACAGTCTCTGCTTCCTCTGCAAGGAGTGCCAGAACTGGTGGCTCTCATTAGTTTGGCTAGCAAGGGGTTTAGGATGGGCAAAGAGCTTTCATGTCTGGTCCAACCACCTGGTGTTACCTAGATAATGCCCTGGCCATGCAGCACAAGAGGGGCTGTGCCACTGATGGGTTGCTAACCAGTGCTCTATTTCTAGCACCTCCTGTGCTACCATCTGCGGTGATGGCTATAACGGTACCCGCAGGATAAGGTCTGGGGAGCGGAAGTTAATACTGCAGAAGAGCAGCTGACGTACAAACCCATACGGGCACACAAGGCTGCCGAGGTCTCGCAGGCTGGAGCGGCGTTACCTTTGTGCTAGCAGGGGGAGAGCAGAGAGCTTGATATAGAACCTCCCCTGAGCAGCGCTGGCATTTCTGCTCTCACACTGATCCTGGCATGACATCAACTATCTTTGTATGTTGGCTACCAGCATGGCCATTCCTTTCCCAAGTCCCAGCACCAGCTCTCTCAGATCTCAACCCAACCCACTTTCCCAGTAAGCGATAGGTTTTTCCCTTTTTATCCCCAGATAAAACACACGCAAGAGTGAAACGTACACCACATAAAGATGCTGTAGGATAAACAGACAAGATGACAGAGGACTGGGTGAGCGAAGGGTGAAATGACTGAATACCTGGCATAATCTCCACAGCAAAACTGGGCAAGAGATCAGCAAGCAGCCCTGTCCTGCCTAGAAAAGACAGAAGGAGGAGAACAAGGAAAGAGGTTACTGCAAGAAAAACACATTCCCCAGCCCTGTCTTAGTCTCCAGTCCCCTTCCTCATCAGCCCACTTGCACTCTGTTAAGTGAATTCCTATCAACCACAGATGTCATCCTGCTCGATGCCTGGTGTCTGCCTCTGCACTTCTGCCATTTCTGTGTCCTTGCATTTTATCTTTATCAGCAGAGCTGGGGAGAGAGAATCTGGAACAGAGCTTCTCCTATCTAGGCACAAAATGACAAGAAGAGGGAGGTCCCCTTACCGTGGTTACATGGTAACATCTTTCTGGCGTTATGCCCTACACATGCAAAAAGCTCCTGGAAATGCACAACAGCCCTCCAACAGGATTTAGTTTACTTTAAAAATGTACTGATGTAGTTTGGACGGATGTGAAACATCTTTAACCCAAGGCCCTTGACAAGTCAGCCACATGCATCCAACACCTGTGGGTGGTGCTCTCCATGTGGGGCTCTGCAACTGCGGAGACAGCTCCAGGAAAGGAGTCTTGAAGTGAGTATGTGCTACATTTCAAGATGCACGAGCAGCTTGGTGAGATATAAGGCCAACTTTCAAGTGAGGCAAACCAACCAGGGAAGGATTCATGCAGAAATTTGTGGAATCACTTTGCAAAATGAAAAGGGAAGAAAAAAACCAAGTCAACTTCTCATTTATAACTGAATACAAACAAAATCCAAGCCTAAAGGCAGCTTGGTGCCTACTTGTTTTGGTACTGAATGTCTTGAATATTTCTAATACACAACAAACATCCTGCACGGTGTTCAGCTATAATTTACACACACATGTGCATTGGCAGAACAGCCCTATGTGCAGCTGTGCTGCGTACTCTTTTATGTAGCACCAGGATCACACTAGTTTTTTTAAAGACATGCATAACGTAGGAGAGAGCTGCACTCTGAAGAGAGGCATACATTGTGGATGTAACATAACAGAAGCAGCTAAGGGTAAGCCAGTGCAAAAGTGGTAGAAAGCTACCTTTAACCTCCCCACATGCCCTTCATATCCTGAACTAAGCAGCACTCAGACACAATGACGAACTGGATCCCAAGTTCCTTGGCCTCCAGTCTGTCCTTGAAGCATGTTATAATCAAATTCCCACTGTCCGTTTTTTCTCAGTGCTTCAGCAGAGGTTCTGTAGAGATCAAAAATCCACAAGGATGCCTGCTGGAGCCATAATAAACATACTCTGAATGCAGGCAGTGCTTTGCAACCAATCGCAACTCATCAAAGCTGTCTAGTACTCACAGTAATGCCTAACAACGAGGTGCTCCTGAAGCCTTAGCAAAAGACACAATGCTGATCCTTCAGACAATTTACTGCTTTGAAGGAGGACTCTTGCCATCAGTCTACTGCAACATTTTCATCTACATATACAAACAGTTTAATTAAATTCTTTGCAGTCCATTTTCTGGAAGGATCGAGTGTCCAAACTGCTCACAGCTAGCTTGTTACGGGAAAGTGCTCACATATGCTTTCTGCTCACGAGATACAGGCACGTATACAACATACACGTGGCTTAAGTCTTGGGTGCCACAAGTGGGCTCCAAACACATGCAACAAATGTGTGCCTTGTGTCACAGTATGCTAGATTTACATTACATTCCACGTGCATATTAAATATATTCCTTATTTTCCCAGCATGCACAAAACCATATGCAATTCTCGCATAGGCCTCTGTGTGTGTGTGTGTGTGTGTGTCTGCGAACAACGTACATGTGAACTACATGCATGCAGAGCATATGGGCAGACATGGGCATGCAGCTTGCCTCCCATGTGTTGTTATCTCCACATAGGCTCACATGCAGCCCTAGTCTGAGAGCAGATGCCAACGGACAAATAGCTGGAGGTATACAGGTAATTTAGGGCTGGAATTTGTGGTCCCAGAGCTAAGCCAGTGACACCTATAAGGAGCAGAAGCTCCATCTCACGAGTCCAAATAGACGCCTGCTTTATTTTGAATCTACCTGAAGAGCCTCGATCCCTGCTAGTGCTGGGTCTTACAGTGCCTCCTGATCCCCAGGAGGAACCACATGTTCAAGGAGGAAGCATCATCCCTCAAAAATAACAGTGCTTGAGAACTTGGTAAACTTGTTACAAAGACAGCCAAAGTAGTTCCTCTGTGCTACATATGAGCAGCCAAGTGTTCCCCTGCTTGTGCACCCTCCCTCAGCGCTGCTGAGTATCTGCTTGGGGAGTTCGATCCCCCTGCCTTGCTAGTGGGGCTCGCACAGCCCTGGGGGCC